GATGGATGGATGGATGGATGGATGGATGGATGGATGGATGGATGGATGGATGAATAGAAATGTATTGAACTGAAGCAAGTAAGAAGCAAGAAGGCTCCTGGTTCTGATCTTGACTTGGACCTCTGTATAAAGTTAGCTAGTTCTCTATGCCCTGGTGCTGGTACAGAAGATGGATATGTTTTATGATGCTTTCAGCAGCTCAGTTCCTCACTCTGCTCATCAGCTACAGCCATGTTTTTCTGTCAGGTGAGCCGGATGCACCTGGAAGAAGAAACGGATTACACTGATGACAGTTAAAGGTAACGGGAACTCCTGGCCAAAGAAAATGAAATGATAGCCCAGTTTCATAGAAAGCTGAAACAAAATACAGAATGGGATGATACAATTCATGAGAGATTTTTCAGACACAAATGGCAGACAATGTTAAACATAATAGGAGGCACGGGTTACACTTCAATAACAAGACCTCCCTAAGCTCAGGGCGTAGTTGGTGTTTAGCGTATACATTCAGATTTATCAGGCTGCACTTTGCAAACAGTCAGGAAAGGCTGGAATGAAAAACAGATGAAGTGAATCTGTCTACAGAGGGCCGGGGCCTTTACTAATGAACTGCCTGTGCTTTTTGTGTAGCCTGTGTGTAAATTACAACTGTTCATCTTCCGAGGGAGACACGGCCACCTTCAAAGAGATCAAAAGATCCTAAAGTTTTTATTCTAAAGCTCAGTTGTAAATTGCAAAACACAAAAGGATGCCAACATGTAGGACCTCAGAGAGTGAAATCTCTTTGAGGCTTTGAAGCCCTTTGGAAATAAAAGGCACTTGTAATTCTACTGGAGTTCTCTCTGTGTTTGACAAATAACCAGAAAGAAAAGCAGGCTCTCCAGCTTTCAGCTTTCCAGGTTCAGGCTTTTCTGCCACTTCTATCAATCCAGTGCGCAGAAACCAGTTTCCTTTATGAAATTTCTCAGGAAGCAATCAAAGCGTGGCGCCCGTAGACCGGTGTCGGATTTTGGTTCGTCCCAAATAAGTCAAATCCCCCCCCCCCAATCACATCTGAGCTTTTGCAGCGCCACAAAGTGTGACAGGAGAGAGGAGGGTTTCACAGCTCTGTGAGGACAGAGGTGAAAAATGCCAATGTGCTCTGACTTCACCAAACAATTAGCATGAGTCATGTTAAAACGTCTCATTTAATCAGCTGCGTTTGCCCCCGGGCCCCCGCCAGACAGAGGAACAACAACAGGGGGAAACTTTCACCGTACACCACATCTAGACTCTGGTGCAGAAAAACAAATAAGTCATTGTTGAACACGCTGGAGAGCCGTTATTCCGCCTATTCACTGCCAAAACCAACACTTACTTACTGAGTCAGCAGAGCTTAATGAGTGAACACGCGTGGACTCCTGCAGCCCCGGTGAAGTGCATTTCTTATTGAGGTGATGCAGCCCCCCCCCCCCCCCCAGCATTTGGCCACGGTCACACACTTCCTGTGCTGTGAGTGGAAAAGAAAAGCCTGTCCTGTTCTGGTGGCCTTGGTGTGTGTCCAAGGCCCCCACGGTGTGTTTAGCTTGAGCTCGGGTCATCCATCACATGAGCTCCTTGCTGGTGGGGGGACTCATCTCTCACCCCTGCCGGGCTCCAATCTGGAGGCTGGAAAACTGGCCGTTGTGCCTACAGCCTCCTGCAGGCCTCCTGCACCACCTGACTGCACTTTACTGGCCTGTTTAAGGCGTAGGAAGTCGCTCTTAATGCTGATAAACCATAATTAAGCCCCTCACACGTAACATGCAGCTTAAGAAGTGCATTATTGATGTAAGTGTTTAAAGTGACTCATAAGTCCTCATGACAACAGCACTGACCCACCCTCTTCCCTCATATTCAGACTGTCTTGATCAGTAGTCTTGATTAGCATTTCTCATGGTTTAGTCTCATTTCTATTTGGACATTGCTCAACTTCTCATTCATTATTTGTCTTTCAGAGGAATGTCTTTCTGTTTTCAGAAGCACCTTGATGGTTACTCACATTCAGCCATGTATAACAAAGGCCCGTACCTCAAGGGATGATCCATTGCTGCATGTACACATAACACATGACCTAAGAGAAAAACTATTTAAATGGTTTCTTCAAGGACTGAAGGATTGTTATCTATTTTCAAAGACAAAATGTTCCTCTCTCTTTTGATTAGAAAAACATAATATTTGCTCCAAAGTGGTTCTTTAAAGAGATTTTAGCTTAATAATTCTATTTGTACTAAAAAGGGAAGCTTAGTATATCCCAGCACAACAGACTGGGAGTCAAAAGTGAGAAAAGACTACAAATATTCATATGCGATGCCCTTCTAAAGCCGTATTCCTGGAGACTACTCAAGAAAAATGGAAAGAAAACGTACCGAAAAGGAGCTTGCTGTTTCACGCTTGTTAGAGCTGCACAAATTCTGCTTTAGTTTTAAATAATTACTAACCAGCTGTGTTTGTAGATGGTTCAATAACTCACTGCCAAGTTATTTTTTCTGGTAATATGTAAAGAAAGAGATGAGAGGTAGTTGAAGGCCTTTGCACAGTAATATATCAACCTTTAATTCTCTGCCTCTGCTTGTATTTCATACATTTTTTATTTTCTTATTGTCCCGGGAGGGCTGTCCATGGCTGTTTGGGTGCTCTGAACAATGCATTTTGCAGTACTTGTTATCATTTTAACGGGGCACAGAAAAATTCATAGGAATGTGTGGAGTTTTTCTCCCCTGCAATCACATTTTAGTGAGCAGCAGAAAGTCTTAAAACAGACCACCTAAATGAATTATTATCGATTCGGATCAATCACATACGGCTGTGAAATTATACCGACTCCTCTCCTGTTCTCCCCGGAGAGCCTGAGAGTAGCTGGCAGCTCTTCTATAAATCAGCTCACGTCGAACATTCGCAGGCATAGCATACAACATTGAGAGGGAGGGTGAGTCAGGGGATAGTGTGTCTCAACCCTCCTCCTCCTCCTTCAAAAGCCGTCTGCCCTCTCTTCTCCTCATCTCCCGCCCTGCCTCCTCCCTCACAACTGTATAATTCATGTGGCTTTGTGTTTATTGTGCAAACCCAGGCGGTGGGAGCCCATGTTAGGTAAGAGAACAGGTCGTGGCATCAGACACCTTGGCTCTGATGGGGGAGACTGCACAACTGCTTAAAAACAAGCAAGCAGCCTCAAGGCACCAAAGAAGGACCTATTTTCAGCCCACATGCCAAGTGAAACGATGTCACAGGAAGAGAGTGAGTGTCGTTCTGATATGTGTTGCTCACAAAATGCTAAATTGTACCCTCAGTAAGGAAACACTGTAAGGAGAGAAACACACACATACACACGGCTGGCTCCTGGAATATCAAAATGTCATTGGCAGGAGCAAGGAACACAACTAATGACAGGTGTATTCCTCCGCCACGAAGGCTAGGTAGCTCCGTTTAACCCTGTGATAGAGAGAGTGGGGATATTTAGTTTAATTTAAACGTCTCGTTGTAACTAATAACTATCATCATATGGACTATTGTCATATCAGTAAAGCCCGTGTTTAGCCCTCAGTGTCACACACAACTAAGGACTAATTGTAGACACACTAACACCTTAGTCTGTAAGACTCGAAAGGAGAACCACTACCGTAAATAGAAACCTATCGCTGATTGAGCGCACAGTGGTCCAATCACACTTCTAGTTTGGGTGGTGGATGGTGACGAAGCAGCGTCTGTCCAATAGGAGCGCGATTCTGGGTGTTGACCTCTGCGAGCCGAATCACCACCTCCTCGGTGTCCGTGGCGGAGGACTACTATAAAAACAAACCAGCCCAAGTTTTAAAGGGCAGAGTTGTAAAAACTCCCAGGCAGTGGGGAGTAGGCTCAGAAATCTACGGGTCGGATCCGCTATCCCCCACAGACGCGAAACCGCCTGGACCCGCTGCCAGAATCGGCAACGACGTTATTTCCCGTCTCTTTCGGTGAGCGACGTTTGGAGCACTAACGGGTTTAACGTTTTCCGGGACCCGGACGAAGGACCCGCTGTGAATTTCAATGTAAGTAAACAATAACGCAACGTCGTCAGACCGGCTGTTTGCTGTTTTTCAGTCCCTTTAAACGGACACGGTTAGGGACAACACGACCTGTAGTCCAGTAGATCACTCTGTGACCCACCTAGCCGATTAAATACTACGTAACCTGCTATCGATCCGCGGAGCTGTCAGTCCGGGTCGGAGCCTCCTTCCTCGGCTCTTCTGTTGGCGTTGACGGTGACTGGACGTACCCTAAAGTGACCACCCCGGTGTGTTTATCGTCGGTGAGATAACGCACAGTCAGTCCCGGGGGCTCTGATAACCGGCCGGGCTAAACATTAACAGGACCGGGCGTCTGGAGGGCTAGCTTGCTACATTTCTGCTCCCCCCCCCTCCTTAGTTAAATGGCTCAGCAAAATGCTAGCAGAACAAATAAGGGTGTCGAAACGGAAGTCGGAGCTTTTGCCATATTCGTTTGGTCAGTTGAGAAAAAAATAATAAAAACGAAATGTGTTTACATTTACAGCGTCGTCGTCGGCTTTACGGCCGTGGTTCGACTGTGAACGGTTATGTAATTTGAATAGTCGTCGTAAGCTAGTCCCCAGCCCCCCCCCCCCCCCCCCCCCCCCCCC